TTAGATGGAAGAGATTGGACTGAGAAAGGCAGCTGAGAGTAGAGATGAGGTAAGAGAGTACTGATGGCACTGGGACCCTGGTTCCAGTTGTCTCCGAAGCTCAGCAGAACCCTGTCTGTCCTGCAGGTTATTGTTACATGGTGTCCATCATTTTCTCCTTTTCCCAGAGATGGTCAAGTGGGGCTCATGCCACTTGCAAACATAGTCCTGACTATGGGAATAGGTGGAGGGGAGTGGGGAAGCTGCCCTCTCTTAGGCAGAAACTACTGAATGAGCCCACATGGGAAGTAGGAAGGCACAAGACTTCTGTGGGGACAGTGAAGAAACCAGTGTTTCTAGAGCTGAGGATCAGCATAAAAAAAGAGTGGGATATCGGCTCTGAGCATGATGAATTTGAAACTACCGCAGGACATATCCATGGAGACAGTGAGCAGGCAGCCAGGATGTGGAAGTGGATCTCCAGAGAGGAATTATGGCTGATGCAACTACAGTAAAAAAAACAAAACACTCAGAATCAAAAAGAGCCAATGAAAAAGAGTTTTCTATGGATGATACAGTTCATGACTTAAAGAGAATATTATTAATTTGGGAGCCACCTACATGGAGATAACAGTTGAAGTCATGGATGTAGAAAATTCTCAAGGGAAAGAAGCAAAAAGAGTCTTGGACAATAAGAGCATTAGGAATTAAGAGAACTCAGGGTCACAAAAGCCAGGTAAGCAAGTTGATTAAAGAGGGGAAGGTTGAGCCCTAATTGGTTTAACTCAGTGGATAGAGCATCAGCCTGTGGACTGAAGGGTCCCGGGTTTGATTCTGGTCAAGGGCACATGCCCGGGTTGTGGGCTCAATATTCAGTGAGGAGCGTGCAGGAGGCAGCCAATCAATGATTCTCTCTCATCATTGATGTTTCTATCTCTCCCTCTCCCTTCCTTTCTGAAATCAATAAAAATAATAATAAATAAAGAGGAAGAGGTTGAGCAGTGGTGAAGAGAAACAAAGAAGCCAGTAAAAAGGTTAATGAGAAAGTTTATGGAATTGAATTTCAGGAGCAGGAAGTCATTGCTGAATGAACTTGGATGTGGCAGAATGCCAGCGAAATGATAGCAATTCCAGGTGAGGTGATGTATGCTATTGGTGGCCACTCACGTGCCTTGAACTTTCCAATGGACTCCTGCTGACTTTCTAGTGTGGAATATGCATCTCTGTTTCTGTGGGATCCCCCCCCCATAGGTTTTCTCCCCCAGAACCACAGAAGGCCACTCTGCCCATAAGGCAAGCCAGAGTAGCAAGAAATTAATAGCCCCCATGAGCAGTCCTTTGATTTGTGAGTTGGTGTATGAATTCCCCGGCTCTCTTGCTGTGTCCCTGAGGTGGGGTAATTCTAAAGCATGTATTTTGCACCATTTCTGAGCTCCTCTCCCCGCCCCCCCCACCCCTCCCCACCGATTAAGCTCTCGGTGCCCATTGTGGTAGCTGGCTTAACAGTACACTAATGAAGCTGTGTTCCTTTTCTTGGCTTGCTTCTCTGCTCTCATAGCAGTGTGTTCCCTGCACTTCCCAAATAAACTATGTATACATAAACCCGTGTCCTTGTGTGCTTCTGAGGGAAACCAAACTGACAGGTGACCGTGTAATTTATGGGCCAAACTAGGACACTTGTGAGAGTGAAAAGGGGAGGCGACACTGTTAATAATTATGCTAGGACAAATGGCACCAAGCAGGGCTTTGCTTATGGAGGTATGGCCTCTACAGTTACATGAATCTCCTTTGAGAAGATGGACTGGGACAGGAGGAGATGCAAAATTTAAATACCAGCCAGAACCGGTTTGGCTCAGTGCATAGAGCGTCGGCCTGCCGACTCAAGGGTCCCGGGTTCGATTCCGGTCAAGGGCATGTACCTTGGTTGGGGGCACATCCCCAGTGGGGGGCGTGCAGGAGGTGGCTGATCGGTGTTTCTCTCTCATCGATGTTTCTAACTTTCTATCCCTCTCCCTTCCTCTCTGTAGAAAATCAATAAAACATATTTTTTAAAAAAATTTAAATACCAATTCCTTTTAATCCCAGAGAGTGCATATGTGCAGAGAGCAAAGATGCCTTTTATTTAGAAGGCATTTGTGCCCTATGCCCCATTACCCGGAGGGCTCTAGCAAGGAATATGTCAGCTCAAGAGTGGGAAAATATCTCAGGAGAAGAATAGACCATACAAAATAGGTCAGTGCCCAGCCCTCAGGAAAGCGAGGCTTGTGCATGCGTATGATTCAAGGCTCTGAGGCTGCAAGCAATTTTGTCAACCGCAGTCAATATTACACTCATCTTAGCAGCACAATAGGCACCCCCTTCTTGCTTCCTCTTGCCTTTCACTAGTGATGTCAGTGTGGGCCTCTCTGTAGCTGCACAAGCAGACAAACATCCTGTGACAGCACCTTCGCCCCGTCTCTGCTGGTCCCACAGCCCTAAGGACATCGTCTGGCAACCTGGGTCCTTGAATACCCAAGGCCTTTCCACTTCAGATGCTTCCACATCAATTATTTTATCGCCTCTCCTCTAAGAAGAGATTTTTCTCTGCAAGAAAACCTTTCAGGAAAGCTACTCCACGTCCTCACACGGTTGAAGAGGAGCAGCTGCTCTGGATGTAATGGTGCTGAGAAAAGACAGACACTAATGTTTTTTCCTTCCTTGTGTGCATGTGAATCCCCATTCTGGATTCAAGATGGGAGTTTCTGTGTGAGGTCGGTGGTGTGGCTAAAATGCCTCTGATGGGGGAGGGACCTCGGCTCTCCAGGGCCAGGTGGGGAGCTGGCCTCTGGTGCTGGCTGTCAGGACGCCCCATTCCTGGAACGTGTGCCTCATCCTTCTGACTGCCTGCTCTTGACAATCTGGCTCATAGCTGCCTCCCTTGAATTTGGAGTTGATACATAAATAGATCAATGTGTGCTGTGCTATGCACCTTCTATGTATTAACTCATTTCATCTTCACAAATTCTATGTAGTAAATCCTGTTATTAAGTGAGACCTGAGTGAGAACTGAGATTCAGACGCTAAGTAGTTTGCCCGCATTCTCTCAGATGGTATAGTTTGCAGGCAAAGCCTGTGGGACACACCATTGGACGTAGAGGTAAAGCCAAGCTGGCTGGCTGCATTAGACGAGGAACTGTTCTGACGGGCCTCAGTACCACGGAGTTCTCATTCGCTTAATGGATGAAAATTCAGTCCCATAGCTACACTCTTCCCCTAGAGCTCGGGCCTGAGGGTATGCTCTCCCACAGATGCCCAGGGGAGAGTTTACCAGCACAGCAGGTTGTACTGGTTAGTCTCACAAACCAGCTCCTTCCTCAGCTCTCAGCTTTGCTGTGGGTTTCATCTCTGGTTCAGAGCCACCCCTGATTTTCCCCTTGCATCACAGGCCAAATTCATTACCTCCTCAGGAAAGACCTTCACCCTCCCACTGTCCCAAGGTCTTACACTCCTGTGTCTTTGTCTGCCTGGCTTTCGCACAGAACTTTTCTTGTCCTCCATCATGGCAAGTGGACATGGGTATCTCTCAGCTAGACCAGCAGTAGATGAGCAGGGGCCTCTCACGGGTGTCCCAGGAGGGCCACATCTGTATTCAGAGGGCTGCTCACCGAGCCAAGCTACTTGATGTTCCCCAAACACACTCATAAAATTCCACGCCTCGACGTCTTTGCTCATGGTGTTCTCTTCACCATGACTGACCCTTCTCTGAATATCTAAGCTCCATCCATTTGTTAAGGCACAATACCATGTAGTCACTGCCGGTGCCTTCACTGAGCCCAGACTGGAAGTGTGCTGAACCTCTGCAGGCATAGTACCCCTCTTAGGTCATGCATGTGCTGCAATCTTTTGAGATACGTATATCTCAAATATGTATATTTATGTTCACATTTCCTTGTCTACTCTTTCGTTAAAGGCTGACAGTAATTCAACTATGCATCTTCAAGTTTGCTTAGCAGAGAGCCTGTAGGGCATTTTTTAAAAATATCTTGACGTTTTTATTTCAATGATCAAAAGAATACAGTAAATGGAATCTATACGGATTGATTAACATTAGGCATGCACCTCTACCTGAAACTGTTGTTAGTTTTTGACAGGCCTAAATCTTTACAACTTATTTAGGCCCATCTTTGAATTTCTTTGACCCTGATATACAGGGTTAGTTAACTTCTTCTTCGTGGTACTTTAGTAATGAGAATTATGCTCACTGGCTAGATTCCTTTATAACTAAAGGCTTCTAGATACTCAGGTTGCCTGTACTACCTTGAGACCATACTTTAAATCAGTGGTCCTCAACCTTCAGGCCCTTTAAATACAGTTCCTCATGTTGTGACCCAACCATAAAATTATTTTCGTTGCTACTTCATAACTGTAATGTTGCTACTGTTATGAATCGTAATGTAAATATCTGATATGCAGGATGGTCTTAGGCGACCCCTGTGAAAGGGTCGTTCGACCGCCAAAGGGGTCACGACCACAGGTTGAGAACCGCTGCTTTAAATAGACACTTAAGTAAATCACAGTATAAGGAAGGGAGATAATTTAGAAAGCTGAGCTGTATTGTATGAATATCCCATAGATTTTTTTCCCCAGCACTTATGGTCAAAACACTTGTTAAGTACCAAATAAGTCTTCCCCCACTGCCACTCTTTCCCAGAGACACCAGGATGTGTATCAATGTCCCCTGGGCATCTGAAACGAATCCACACAAATGACAGACTTTACCCAGGTGGTCCCACTATCAAATTACAAGAAGCAGTTCCACTACCCAAATTATAAGAACCAGTTAATGGGACGTTCAGAAAAACATATTCCCACTACAGTAATATGCATCTAGGAAAGTTTTCCATTCATGTGTCAATTGTTTTCACAAGATTAACGTAAAAAAACACACACAACCAAATACACATATGACCCCCAAGCCCCAAACAAAAAATATTGGTCTTTGTTCATTCTCAGATGACCAGATGCTCCAAGAGTGCCAGGGGTGGGAGCCAATCTCCCTATAGCCTTTTCTTCAACCATTCTTGAACTACTTTCCTTTTCCAAAAAGGTAATGCTGAAATCAGTCGGAAAGGCTTTCTGAGAAGACTGACTTGGATTTCTGTTCAAGGCGATTCAAGATGAATTGGCTTGTATCAATGAAGCGTTCAACGCAGTTCACAAAACAGGCCTCAGCCCGACTGTCCAACTTTGGCCCGGGCTTGTTCATGCACTTCTCCCAACAAACTTCCGTCATCTGGTGCACCAGCTGCTGGAAGCGCTGCTTCTGAGTCTCTGCCTCCATGAAATGCTGCAGCTGTGGGTCCACTGAGCCCAAACCCCCAGAGGAGAAACTCAAGGAGGAATCCATCCCAGCGGAGCCACGTGCACCGAGATGAACTCCACACCAACTCCTAGACCTTCACATGTCTCCGCCTGTAGGGTATTTTTGAATGAAAGAGAAGGGCATACTTACACAGACAGGGGGGAAAGCGATATCTGGTTAGAAAACCTTGGGGAATTGCAAATAACATGTTTGTGAACTAGACGATGTACTTACTCTTTAGAAGCCCATGTATCTTCTCAGTTGATTTGGGGACAGTGACTAACAATAGTAGTAGTGTAGTAATAGCTACCAAGCCCTTTACAGAAAGCGTTAGTCAGGGCATGTTGATCACAAGCAACAGAAACTAACACTGGCTAATTAAAATAGAATAGGAAGATATTGGAAATTATAATAGATGCTGTTGGTGTTCTGTTCAGATCCTTGTTATCTTTGGCACACCCATCCACCAGTCATGTGCATGTTGGTTACAAGCAGTGCATAGCTATCCCTTCTCCAGAAAATTGCCCTGTGCCAACAGGAGTCTCCTAAAGGGGGGTGGGGCGGAGGGGGGAGGGGAGAATGGAACTCCTCCACCTCCCAGCAACCTGTAGCCAATGACTGATTGATATGTGGGTCATAATGGGCCAACCATCTTGCCTCAAGGCAGGACTTGCTCTGGAGGGCAGTTCACACCCACAGCCACTAGGCTGAGGCTAGACTCCAGCTGAGATGACATCTTAGCTCTTTCCCTTGCCCTAGCCTGCTTCCCCCTCTTCCTTGTAGATTCTCCTAAGAGCATCAATAATTTCTGTGCCAAGAACCCCAACTCTACACTCTTTCTAAGACTCCAACCTGAAACAAAAGGACACTAGGAAAGCCCTCAGGACCAAGAGAGGACAGGACCCATGGCAGCCATGGGGCGTCTCCGGGGTGATTTTTCAGTCTGCCTCCTTCAAAATGAATCAGCTCAGCTATTTTCAAGTTTGTTGTGTTTTTTACCTGTCTGCTGAAGATTCAAATTTTTAAAAAATATTTAACTGCCCTACCAAACTATCCAGTTTCCCTGAGGCAACAAATACCATCTCATTCAATCCTTAGAACTGGCTGTGAGGTAAATGCTATATCTGTTAGACAAATGAAAAAAATTAAGGCAAAATTCAGAAGAGGCCAAGGAGTTAGCCTAGCCCCTTAATTTCTTGTTTAAAAGACCCTACTTTGTAGAGTTGATGCCCCAACATCCATTCTATCCCCCTGTGGTCGGTAACCCCATCATGGTCATCCTGTGGCAGTTATTGGTTTAGAACAGGCATGTGTTCATGTCCTGGCCAATGAGACATGGGGGGCATTTTCCTGGGCCTTCTGAGAAATATCTCTTCACTCCTCAAAAGGAGACTCGAGAAGAGAGAACCCCCAGCTCTTCCTCTGGACATTGTTAAGTCTGTGTCCAACAAACAAAACTTCCTCAGGCATCTTGTTCTCCCCTTCGGTTTATGCCAGCACAACAGGTGGCAGAATCAAAAGAATCACAGAGAAAGGGGCCAGCCTAAAGCCCACCAAACCTCTGGGGTCTTTGTTATAGGATAAAATGAAGTCCCTCATTGATTAAGATATGGCTCAAGCAGAGGATTTGCATGACTTTTAGCATTCGCAACCCAAAGCATTCTAACCGAAGCACTCACTGCCCTGGGTTGGAAAAGACGCCAATGGAATGAGGACATTTGCAAGGATTAGTCCCAGGAAAACTTGTAATGAGAATTGCCACTCACTAGCTGTGTAACCTTGGACAAGTTATCTAACGTCTCTGAATCAGTTTCCTCGTACATAAAATAGAGATAATTCTTGCATCCACACCATTAAACGGAATCAAGCATTTAAAATAAACACCCACCAGCTGGCACATAGTAAGTGCCCACTGATGGTTGGTTGTTAGATATACCCTTAGAAGAAAAGTTGAAATAGAATTAGAAAGTGAATAGCTATTGCTTTTAAGCAGCTGGTAAATATTTAACAAGTTTTTCTGCATTCCCTCCCCCACGTTTTTCTGACATTTATCCGCATCTGCACCTAAGTCAGCCATCACATCATCTGTCAGATGGCATAATTCTGTCAGTGCATCCACTTACAAGTTTGCCCATATTTAAATTGTGAAATTCTAAAAGGCAAAGATTCCTCCTGTTCCCTTTGTTTGAATAGCTCCCAGTAGATTCCAGGAACATGTGGACACTTAATATATTCTTAGCTCAGTGGTTTGTAACTATGGGTCAAAATCAAATTCAACTGCTGTGGTTCTTAAACATTTTTGGGGTCATGAACCCTTTTTGAGAATCAAATGAATGTTGTGGACCAGCTCCCAGACAAAAGGCCAGCAAGCAAGATGACCATACACTGGATCCCTGCCCCTCCCCCAGGCATAACACTCCTGCATTAAAATATTTAAAATAAACCAAACTTTACCCTAGCTGGTTTGGCTCAGTGGATAGAGCATTGGCCTGCGGACTGAAGGGTCTCGGGTTCAGTTCCAGTCAAGGGCACATGCTGGGGTTGTGAGGGCACATGCTGGGGTTGTGGGCTCGATCCCCCGTAGGGGGTGGGCAGGAGGCAGCTGATCGATGATTCTCTCTCATCATTGATATTTCTGTCTCTCTCCCTCCCTTCCTCTCTGAAATCAATAAAGGTATATTTAAAATAAATAAATAAACCAGACAGTTAAAAACATTGTCCTGTGCCAGGGGCATCACAACTACATTTAATTTAATGTTTAGAAAAAACGCCAAAGTGAAGGAACTACTCTCACCTTTTGTATAAGTTCAGAAAGGTTAGGTATCATGTGTGAGGTCATGCAGCTGAGTAGTTGCATTATCCTGGCTCATAAGCCCTCCCTGTTGCCTTAGCTGGTTTAGCTCAGTGGATAGAGCGTCAGCCTGCAGACCAAAGGGGCCCAGGTTCGATTCCGGTCAAGGGCGTGTACCTTGGATGCAGGCTCCTCCCCAGCCTGGGGCCTGGTCAGGTGCATGCTGGAGGCAACCAATCAATGTGTTTCCCTCACATTGATATTTCTCTCTGTCTTTCCCTCTCTCTTCCACTCTTTCTAAAAATCAATGGAAAAATATCCTCGAGTGAGGATTAACAAAAAATAAGCCCTCCCTGTTCCCTCATGGGTCTGCAGACAGACTTGATCTATTGTATGTTCTCAAATGAGAAGAGAAAAAAAAAACATAGTCCTGCCCAGAAGAGGGGCCTAGTAAAAAGGGTAGAGCAGTGGCCTGCTCTAACCCAGGGAACATTAACAACTTCTGTCCAGACCACTCAGTTGACACTCCTCTTTGTTTTCCTGCTGAAAGGGGGGAAATATTTTCCTGGCAGTTGGAAGCAGAGTTTTTCCATTAATCTTCCCTTTGCATGTTGTTTCACCAAGATCCAAAGTGACACAAAACAAATTCCAGAATTTCACACCAAGGAGGGTGGAAAACTGCACCCTGCCAGGGCTGGACACAGTTGTCTCCAGGCAAAGAAGCAAGGGACCATTTCATCACGGGGAGTGTCAGCACCCCCACAGTGGGACCCAGGACCACACAAAAGCTGCTTCCCACGTTGGAACGCAGTCCTGAAGGAGTGCTTTAGTAATTTCTGGACATCTGAATAGAAGTGACATGCCTAGGAAACGTAAAGACTGCCACAGGTGGCCAGCCAACCACATGAGCTCTGTCTTCTGCCCCAAAGCCTCCCTCAGGGGCTAGACCTCAATCTTTATTCTGGGGCTCATCCGTTTTCTTCCAGCCATGATGGATGATCTGTAGAATAGATTCCTTCGATAGGCCTAGAATGATGTCCTGACCAAACGAGCATGCAGATATGGAATGGATCCCCTCCACATGGATAGAACAACATAAATAGGGAGAGGAGAACCAAGCTTGACCTGCTGGCCCAGAATTGAGTCAGGATTGACTAGAATGTGACTTGAACTATTCCCACTGTTTGGCAGAAAAGTAGCCTCTTTGATCAATGGGATGGTTGTTTTTGTCGCTGAATAGCTAAGCTACTGATTGTGCCAACTGGCCTTTTCTTTCACACCAGGGTGGGGCTTAGGGTTGGGAGGGTCAGTCCGTCATCTGGATGTGAGCATCTTGGCTCTGGACACTGTTCCTGCTGCTTTGAGGCTGCTGGGCCAGAGAGGGAAGAGGGGAGGGAGGGACATGCTCCCACCCTGTGCATTTCTCCCTCCATGGGCATGTGGAGCTATGGGACTGGTTCCTCTCCAGGCTCTACAACTCATGGCTGGGGCGAGGGGGCAGACAGCACCCCAGCCTCTCTCTAGACCTTCTCTAAACCTCTTTCTCAACCCCTTCCAAAACAACTCATCACTCTTCCTCCTTCAGCCAAAGAACAAAAGCCTTTGTGCATAAAGTCTCAGAGATAGGCCCCCAAGAAGTCACAACCTACCAGACTTGGAATGCCAGTGTGGGCTCATCTGCGTAACCCTGTTGTCTTTGAACCCACAGAGCCTACCGGCTGCCTGGCATGTTTGAGACCACAGCTAACGTTTGCCTCCTCACCTGCCTCTTCACTCCAATGCTAAGAGGATGGGGAGGAAACCCCAGCAGAAGGAGGTTGAGTGACACCTTCAAGGTCACCCAGCTGAACAGGAGGGAGCAGGCTTTGAACTCACCTCAGCTGAATGCTTCCCCTCCCACTGGTTGGATGAGCAAATGGCCCCTCTGAGATGCAGTTTCTCATCTGTAAAATGGGTTGTTCTGATGTTTGCACGAGTCAATGTTGGAAAAGGGCCTCTCTATGTTTGGCACTTAGGGCCTTTTCCTCTACTTACGTAAATATGTGAGAAGTGATGGAAGATACATGTGGAGGAAGAAAAATTTCAGGATATTCAAGTGTCACTGGGCTGCAAAGTACAGAATAGGGAATATAGTAAATAATATTGTAATAACTATGTATGGTGCCAGGTGGATACTGGACTTATCGGGGGACCACTTCGTACATTATATATATGTTGAAGCAGTATGCTATATACTGGAAACTAATATAATATTGAATGTCAACTATCGTTGAAAACATTTTTTAATTAAAAAGAAATGTATTTTCTCTG